ATGCGGTTATTCGAAAATAGGGTGTGTAATAACTGAATTTTGTCGAAAACTTGTTTAATATGATACTTCAAATGGTCAAAATTTCTAAATACAAATCTATATCTATGACTTCTTACTATCAAATGTGGAAAAATCTATTTCCTCAATCATATGATGAATAAAATCAAATTAATATCTTACATTGGTGTTTGATCATTAACATCATCAATAATAATTTTAATATAAAGTTGTGTATAATGTCCATTTGTATCTGTAACATATAATGTACAATTATATGAATCAATTAATTCTCTATCAAGTGTTTCAATAAGTAAAAGAACTAAACGATTTGATAAATCATTATTTAATTCAAGTATAAATGGAAAATTTTCATCGAAATTTTTTAATTGATATTTTAATTGATTTTGATTATCTATATAATCATAATCATATGCTTGTTGTAAAAAAAGTTTTGATTGATATGGTGGAGAATTTTCTGATATATGTAATATTATTTCTGATGTTTTATATGGAAATATTGGTTGATGATCATTTATATCATCAATTATAATTGGTATATAATAAAGTTTTTCATTATATAATTCAAAAATTTTTAATAAAAATTTACATTGATTATGTCGATGATGTATACAAATTAATTCACGATCAATATCCATAGCAATACGTAATTCACCTGTTGTTGAATTTAATGAAAAATATTGTTGAATTTCACGATAATTATTATTAACAAAACGATATGAATATCGTTGATTTATTGATGTATTAAGTTTAACTAATAAATGACCTATTGATGTATGTTCACGTATAATTATATTTGATAATTCAATAAGATCACAAAAAATAAATGATAATGAAAAAAGTAAAAAAATTAAATTTTTTATCATTATTATATGAATTTTTTTTTATTGATTATCTTTAAAAAAAAATAAATTCATTTCAATATTTTAAATAATCTATATTTTAATCAAGAATGTTTATATATGTTAGTCTAAGAACAGGTGCTAAATGAATTCTAATTCTGACAGTGAAACCTGACAGATTCATCGATCATGTTGTTTTTTTTTTAAAAAGAGTGAAGAAGCATATCTAATTCAATGTATTCATGCTCGAGTTGGACCGGTCACTTTAAATCTTTACATATATGAAGTATTCCGAAACATAAACATACACACATTACTCTCTTCTTCTTTTTTTCTTAAGAATAAATTCTGAACATTACTTATAATTGTACATACAATACTCGAAATTCATTCATGCACATAGGCGACGATTAACACACATACACATTTATTCACTTTATATATACTACTCTTATTCAAATTCCTACATAAAAAAAAAACGACAGATGATTATGTACATCGCTTCTTTCTTCTTCTTCTTTTTTTTTTAACCTTGCAATAATGACATTGTTTGACAAGTGGAAATGACGAGTAAAGATAGAAAAGATCTTCTACAATAATGAAAAGAAACATAGGAGGATGATGATGATGATTAGACACATATATGCAAATGAAGATTTTCTTTTTCTATACATGTAGGTGCAAAGTAACCATCATCAAATGAACTAAAAGTATAATACGTACATGTTGTTTAAGATCAGACGCATATTTAAAAATTATAACTAATGTATGACAAATTTGATGAAGAATAAGAACAAAAAGAATAAAAACAAAGAAGTTAAATGCATTTACCTGTAGCATCATTATTTTTTTCCATTTGAACGAAAACGATAAAAATTATTCGCTCATTTGTTTGCCTTTTTTCTTTTCTCTTCAAAATAATTATGATTCTCTCATTTCTCTTTTTCTCTCTCTCTCTCTCTCTCAATTCAATCGTTTGTGTTGCTATTTAATAAAAATAATTAAATAGAGTACATTACACCAAATGAAAAAAATGAACTAATAACTTTAAAAAAAAAAAAAAGAAAAGTTAATTCGACAGAAGAAAAAATAAGAAGAAGAAATCTAATATGAACTAGAGAATACCACTTGAAAACTTAGACATACAGAAGTTATGTGAAGAGAAGACGGTCTTTTTGATCATCGACTCAAGTTCGATCAATGTATATATGGCTTCAATCAACCTTCACATATATGAATACTTATATTCAACCTCCATTCAATATTTGTTCACTAGCATAAGACATTATCTTCTAAATATATATGTCCGTTGAACTCATGCACGCATTATTATAACAGAAAAGAAAAAGTAGACCGACACACACATATTTATATATATATCATGTAATACTCATTTCAGGCACGCACCTGAGTTTTGTGGGTAATTGAGTTAGAAATAGCGTAATCTCATCGAAATATTACTGTATTTGTTACCGTCAATATTGCTTAACACATGGTACCATTGAAGAGGACCATGACTTTTCCCATATAGCAAATTTTTAGAGTTCATATACATATGTATGACGTAATAAATTGTAATATGTATATGTACGGCTGCTGCATCCCTGTCAAGAGGCAATAAACGTTCTTTCTTATATACTTCATTGTTAAATATTCAAATGATAAAGCAAAAGAATTAACTATATTTTCTTTTTTTTTTTTGGAAATTAATTTCACAATAAGATTCTTTTAATAATAGACTAATTCTTCATTTGAAAAGAATATATTCGTGCAAATAACAAATTATAGAAATATATATTATCATTAATTAAAGAGACACTAGTCCTATTCAAGTATTTATATATATATTAAGTAAGTCAAAGTACTAGAAAAGAAAGAAATAACCTTGACTTAAACAATGATGTTTGTAGTTCCGGAGAATCTAATAAAAAAAAAAGAAGATATTTATGCTATTACTTAACAATAATGAAGAATCTCTAATTACGCATATATGACACAATGACAGCATCCGTTTTTAATAAGAGATATGCATAAAATTACTAAGTATGACTCTTGAAAAGAGAAGGAAAAAAAAAGCAAGAAGAAGAAACGAATAATCTTTGACATCATCTGTAAATGGATATGTTGATATTTAAATTAAACTGTAACCGACTTCTTTCTTTTTTTTATCACGATAAATAACAGACGAGAATAATTTATCAAATAACAAAAAAAAAAAAAACGATAATCTGTTTTTGTTTGTCTATACATTACCATCCGGTATTAAAAGGAAATGAAATTGAGTATGATGTTCTTTTATTTTTTTTTTTCTATTCAAATATTCCTGCTACTGTCAATCATACAATATGCATATATACATATCTATATATATATATACATTGAATGGTGGTGTACTCTTTTTCATCGTTCTAATGCTTTTAAATATATATATACATATAAGCGATTGAACTGACCTTGAAATAACATCACTTGTATGTTACTTCTCTTAATCATACAGGGTCAATCAATAAGGTTATTGAATTGATCAGTTCATAAATGAGACATTTAACCTGCAAGGTATATATTTGATATATATATATATCGGATAAAAATATCGTATTCAAATACTCTTAATAGAAGAAAAAACAAAGCAAAAAGACATGTTTTTTTCCAATCTATCATCGAATATCTTGTTTCGTCTAGTCGAACATTAATGGATGATGTACAAGTGGAATAACATAACGAGAATGACAATTAGTAACTGATCGATCGACTGACCATTTGTATGTCCGTCAATGAGCGATCTATCATCGAGTAGATTTTAATATGTTTTTAGTTCTATTTATTATTTCTTTGGGAACTAACTACAGAAGGTATATGTCGTTCTCATTTAACATTATCATTAATATGACATATGAAAAAAGAGAGAGAGAGAGAGCAAGAATAGTTATGATTTGTGGTCATTGTGTAACTACATTTTTCGTTATTATTCATCAGGAATAATTTTTTTTTTTTTGCAATAATTTTTATATTACGAAGAAAGAGAAGAGCAATCACATGCATATACATATATATATATATACTACAAAAGAATATATCTTTCTACATTATCAAAGTGTAAAAAGCATAAGCATATTTTGTCGTCAATGTTTGAATTAGTTGTTATATCATCTAATTGATCTTTCACCTCTCTCAAGAGACATTCTGTTGTTTTTATTTTTAAACAATATTATGCTTACTTTGTAACACTTAATTATTTTTTTCTTTTTTCGATTGCATAAACATGATGATGAAAAGATATTGTCTTATTTTCTTTATTTATCAATGAATGGTTCCAGTAAATGAATCTTTCTTTTTTTTTTTTGTAGTTTGGGTAGATTTACTTTTTTTGATTGTTCTTTATATAACAAGTATATACCCGTATTTATATGTAAAGGTTAAAGATTACGAAATCGATTTGTATTACATATGAACATCCGACCAAGTTCGAATGTCTTCTTTTCATCTACTTGTAAATTGTCATGGAATGTTCATTATTATATTCTGCAAGGTTTTCTTTTATAATAGTGTCATTCTGTCATCTTAAGACAAATAAATATTATCTTCGGTTATATTAAATTCAATTCATTGTCAATGATGATATTTTTTCATCTTGGCTTTTTGAAAAAAAAAATCACTTTACTGATTCTATATATATGCCCTGTAGTCTTTTCGTCTAATCATCTAAGTAGTCACATCTATTTCATATTAGTTACTTGTCTGATCCGATTTTTTTTTTATTGGATCGAATGATTGATTGACTCAACACAATATTAAATTCTTAAACAAAAAAAAAAAAAACAAAGTCTATATGAACATGTTTCTTAATTCATTTCCGAATATATGTAGTTAGTCCAAGGCTAATAAATATATTTATCTAAATATGATGTAATTTGTACATAAAGGTGAATTATTATTTCTTTAAGTTGATTTAATGATTATTTCCGATATGTTGTTTGAACTTGTTGATGAAGTTATATTTACAAAAAAAAATATAGAAATCAAATTAAGTTAATGCCAATGGGAGATATTGTTGTAACAAATGATTTATTTGGATGTAAAAAAAAAAATTTTTTTGTTGTTATACTACACACAAATAAAAAAAAAAGAAAAAAAGGTAATTTATTGTTCGTCATCAGCAATACCATCTTGTCTTGAACCTTCATCAGCTGTTGCCTAAAATAGAATAAATAAATGTATGAAAAAATAAAAAAGAATATCTTTAAAAATTTCCAACTTCTCGATTTTCTTCAGCTCGACGTTTTTGTTCTTCTTGTGCATCATTTTTTTCATCGTCATTAAATTGATCTTTATCCAATCTAATATAATAATTAATTTTTCAAAAAAATTGATAAAAAAAAGAGATTCTACCGTTCAAGTTTATCAATAGCAACTAATACTTCCATTCGATATGAATCAGTTTCAGATAAAGGTGTTTCTATTAAATAAAATATTTGATTCAAAAAAAAAAAACAAAATTTTCTTTTTTTACCTAATAAAACAAGTGCTCTTAGCATTGGTAATACAGCCAATTTTTTAAGTTCTTCTGGATCAGTAACATTGTTCGCACTAAAATTTGTTTTTTTTTTTTTTTTTGTATTTTATATAACAATATAAATCTATTCTTACCGTAAATTGACATATTGCAATTGTTTCATATTTTCACTAAAACCATCTAATATTTCAATTTTATTATCACGTAAATGAAGTGTTGTTAAACGACTTAATTCTTGTAAATCTTCAAGTTGTGTTATATTATTAGCTGCCTAAAATAAATTAATTTATATAGAACAAAAAAAAAAATTTTTTTTACAATAAATAAATTTTTTAAATTAGGTAATGCTATGCTTTTTGTTGTTGTTAAACGATTTTCTCGCATTTCAAGTGTTATTAAATTTGGTAATTTACTTTGTTCAAGACCCGTACAAGTATCAATTTGATTATCTAAAGAAATAAAAACGAAAAAAAAGTTGATTTAAACAAAAAATAAAACCAACATACGATTAAGATTAAGTATTTCTAATCGTGGTTGTTCAATACCAACAATTGATCGTAAACGATTATTACTTAAACTAAGTGTTTGTAAATATGGAAATGGTGGTAAATCAAATGTTGATAATTCATTTGAATCAAGTTTAAGTGTTAATAAAAATTTTAAACGATTTAAAGAATTTATTATACGAAGACGATTATTTGATAAATCAAGAAAACGTAAATGAACAAATGGTTCAAGACGTGTTATATCCGTTAAATTTCTAGAATATTTTATAATTGAAAATAAAATAAAATAATAAAAATTTTTTTTTTACCGATTGGATGCTTCTAAACGAGTATAAGCATGTGCTAAACCATTTCCTGTTTTTGCAAGTAATGAAAGTGATTGTGCTATTATTTCATCAGTTAATGGAACTTCTTCACGTACCTAAAAAAAAAAAAACAAGATAAATTTAAAAATTAAAAAAGAAATTTCTTTTTTTTAATACTTCTTCTTCAACTTCTTCTTCACTATGTTCAGATTTTGCTTCTTCTTCACCGTCATTTTCTTAAATATTATTTATTTATTAAATTAATAAAAACAAAAATTAAATAAAAACAAAAAAAAAAACCTGATTTATTTTCTGCTTCGATTTCTTCAGCTTCGTCATGTTCAGATTCTTCGTCAGACATGTTGATAAAACAAGAAGCAACAATTTTAATATGACTATAACTATTAGTTACAATTTTTTTGCCATTGCTTTATACTTTATAGAGGCAACGACCTCTTTTAAAAAAAAAAAAAAGAAAAGAAAACGTTAGTAACCATTGTAATAGTTATCGCTACTAGACAAATTATTATTTTCAATTTGTTTTTTCTTTTCTTAAGTAATCAATAAATGAAAGAGATTATTATATTAAATCAAAAATAATTTGTGATTCTAAATTATGAAAAGACAGAATGGAAAAATTTTTTAGCGGTAAACGAATTGTATATTTCCTAGACTGTAAGGCAGAGTTCAATGGTGGATTTAGAATTTTGAGAAACGAGAGCGATGATAGTCGCAAAGCGTGTTTTGAATTCAATTAGAGGTCATATATCAGCTTAATTTTGGGCGTTTTCAGCTGAGAAAAATATTTCGGAAGGAAGGCAAGATCGCTCTCAGTGCCCTCTCTAAAAATCTTATGGTCCAAATGATCATGTGATAAACATGATTCAAAAAATAGCGTACAAAGTTATAAAGATCATCTATAGTCACTATAATCGAAAGAATCCTCCTAGAAAAAGCCAATTTTGGTCAAATTTATTGATTTTCTGATTTATAGCTCATTAGATAGAACAAAATATCTTCTCTCGAATGCACTATAGTTTGTTGATTTTATGATAAGATTTAACAGTACTCCGTCATTTTAAACGCTAGAAAGCTGATCTTGGTATCAAAATGAAAACAAAAATTAGCTCTAGAACTTAACAGAACCAGATTTTCCTATTAATCCTTATATAAAAAAAACTAACCATTCTGAACCTACCCTCCTCTTAGATGTTTCGTATTTCATCCAAGGAGTTTTCTAGGAGCACACGAGCTAGGAAACAATCGAAAAATCGAACCCTGTTAAATTGTAGAGCCACATCTTGGCTACATTTTAAAACCAATCCGAACTTTTTAGAATTTGAAATGGCGGAGAAATTTGGAACATACGAAAACCTAAATTTTAACCCATATTCTGTCTTTAACACATTGTTCGATGGTATAACGAATATCAAGATAATTATAGTTAACGTGATTTATCTTGTATGAGAACAATCTAATGTATATCGATAAATTCTCTGGTTGACATGTAATATATTTAAATTTCACCTCAGTTTTACGTAATACTAGGAAGATTATATTAAAAAAAAAACTTCTTTTGCATTTTTTTCAGTAATGATCGAACTGCGAGCAAATTTTCTTTCAATATACTTTAATCTAGAGAGCTGTATTGTTTTTTTTTTCATCGATAGATACATGTATAGTCTTTCAGATAAGAGAAAGGAATTTTCTAATTGGTCGTCAACACCAGAAAAACTCTAAGATTTCAGTGATCGTAAAAATCAAAAAAACAAAACCTATTCCTGATCTGAAGCAGTAATGATTTCTCTTTCAAATAAATGCAACTCGAAGTATATTAGAAAAAAAATTTGTATACGTAAATGCCCTGCTTTACAGTTTGATCTCTGGAAATCTCCTGAACGGTATGGCATAGATGCGTGAAATCTTTTTTAATTACTAATGTACTTCCATGAGCCCAGCATCTATGCAGAGTTTCGTCAATATCTCATGTACTCTATCGAAGTTAGATTTTTGAGAGGATCCCTCAACTGCTATATAGCTTATATAAAAATGAAGAGCATGATTAGATTATTTAATGTAAAGTGACCGATAAAATTTTAGAGCACTTTTTATTTCATGATTTTTTTCTATGAAGGATAGCTTGCGGAGGACAACCAAATAGTGATTTCGATAACTCTCGAAACGAGCTGCAAGTCTATGAAGTCAAAATTCTATAAGGCATATTACTCGAATATTAATGACGGAAACTACTTTTTACTCAGCGGACAAAAATTTAGAGCACTTTTAAAATTTTTTAATATTTTATTTATTTTTCGTTTTTAAAGAATTATCAAAAACTCTTTTTCGGTGCTATTCGATGGAGAATTTGGTATATTAATTTTATCAAGATAATTCATTTTAGTAAGATTGTGAATAGATTAGTAAAGTTTACTACTCCACCGCACTATTATCTTAGTATGAATGAATTCCACAAGGCACTTGTGAAACTTGGAATATAGCCTATTTTGTAGAGCAAACTTAATTCTTTAAAATGAGACTTAGCTGACTTCTGTGTGACGTATTATTCGATCGATACAATGCCTTTAGTTTTCACGAACAATTTTAACGATGTTTTTCATCTGCGTATCTTAGATAACGCGTTTTATCAAACTAAAAGCATTGTATCGATCGAGTAATACGTCACACAGAAGTCAGCTAAGTCTCATTTTAAAGCATTAAGTTCACTCTACAAAATAGGCTATATTCCAAGTTTCATAAGTGCCTTGTAGAGTTCATTCATACTAAGATAATAGTGTGGTGAAGTAGTAAACTTAACTAATCTATTTACAATCTTACTAAAATGAATTATCTTGATAAAATTAATATACCATTTTGTTCAGTTTTTAATGCTCTTTCGAATGATGTACCTAGAAGTTGAAAATTAAAACAAAATTTTTCTATATCTATTAATTAATATTAATTAAATATAATTAATGTTAATTAATAAGAACTAATAATATTCAAAATTACTTATTATCAAAATATAGTCCATTCAATTCTCCATCGAATAGCATCGAAAAAGAGTTTTTGATAATTCTTTAAAAGCGAAAAATAAATAAAACATTAAAAAATTTTAAAAGTGCTCTAAATTTTTGTCCGCTGGGGAAAAAGTAGTTTCCGTCATTAATATTCGAGTAATATGCCTTATAGAATTTTGACTTCATAGACTTGCAGCTCGTTTCGAGAGCTATCGAAATCATTATTTAGTTGTCCTCCGCAAGCTATCCTACATAGAAAAAAATCATGAAATAAAAAGTGCTCTAAAATTTTGTCCGTCACTTTATTTGGATTTTTGTTCAATACTGTATGAGCAGCATGATTAATAAACCAAAATTTGATAAGTACACCTGAGCATATCATTATCATAAACAAACATATTCTTTAAATAATATGATATTAACTTTTTTAATACCTACAAAGAATGGGTATAATTTAGACAAGCAATTACTATGCCTTATAATATGAGTGTGCCGCCCGTATACATTTACTAATGCGTATTTATATCTACGTATACGCAATTATATTTTGATGATCTAGAAAGTTTTTGTTTTTTTACATCAATTTTGAAACTTTCTTCAAGAGAATGTTTCATAATTTTAACTAGCGAATAGATTTCGAGTAAATATTTTAATTAACTTTTTTTGTCTAGATATTCTTGTAGTCCGGAAATAGTTATTTCTGTTGTTGTCAATCTTCTTCTAATTCCTTGTAGAAAAGAGATATACTAATTGAGAAGGCTCTCGAAAGAGAGAAAAAAAAAGTATTCTATCAGAAATAAATAATTATACGAGTTGATATACTTGACAAAAATTATCTTTGAAGGTTATGTCTTAGTCAAGATATGAATGTTTTTTTCTCGTATCAAGTAAAAGTTAAATTGAAAAAATTTACAAAATATTTTTCACGAGTTTTGAAGAAATTCAGATCAATTTCATGACTAATGCTTAAAGTTGCAGTCGACCGAATAATTCATATTCAATTAGACATCACGCTCTATCGAATAAAAATAAGAAGAACTTCCTATTACCTTACGTTTGGGTACAGTTTAGTCTGACATTTATTTAAGAATTTTTACAACATCGATGAATAGACTAAAATGAAAATGTGTGTACTCTAATTTTTTTTTTCTTTGTCACAGAAATCATGTACTGTATATTAACATACAAAAAAAAAACAAAAAAAATAATTCTAATGCTAATTTATAACATAGTCGCTTCAAGTAAACCAAAAGAAATCTTCTTTCAAAATCAATCCAATTAAGTATGTATCATATTTCAAATATTTATGATTTGAAATTCGAAATACTTATAATAAAAACTAATCAATATTTGTTGAAGATTTGTATAGGACTTATACTTTTCACTGCACTTCTTATATTCATCTATTTCATATATTTAAAGAAGAACATAACCGATGAAAGAAAATAAAAATTAGAAGGTACCTATTTGATCTTTTTATTATATCGGTATCTATATAACCTACATAGTAAAGACAAAGAGTTCATCGAGTTTTAAAAAATCTTCGGAACCATGATTCCGAGTCCATTTTCAGTTCCTACAATATGTCGTTAGAACTAATGCTATATCTAAGGAACTAATATATATATAGAATGACTACCGAAATTGTTCAATGCGATTCACTTTGAAAAAAACAAGAATTCAAAGAGTAATTTGAGTAGAGAAAAATATTTTCATAAATGATTTTCAAATTCTTGAAGATAGAATGTTTAGAAAATCAATTGGCAATACTATCTTTTATATCATTCATTTTTTCTAGTCGAATTCTTTTTAGCGTTTAAAGATTGTAGGATGTGGATGTATGTCTTCTTCTTCATCTACACACCTCTACTAGAGTAATTATCATTAAAAAGAATTTCCTGTTTTCTTTTTTTTTTGGACCTATGAACTTCTACAAATAACAACAATGAACAAGTTCATTACTTAATAGATAATTATCTTAAAATTACAAAACAGTAGGAGTAATGATTGTGTACAACTGACAAATGATGATTTTATCGCAAAAAAAAAAAAAAAAGGAAAATTAAAGGACTATTTGTCGTACACTTTGTGATTAATAATTAAGATGTTCATTGAATTCTATTACGTACATTTAGTAGTTTAACAACATGACAATGAAATTTAAAAAAAAACAACCATTTTACAAAATAATTCATTGTCATTTTTTCATTTTATTGAATTATAATATGTGCGCTATTTGTGTTTCTTTTTTATTGCTTCTTGACAACATAATCTATATCGAATGGGAACAAAATCAATAAATCTTCATGTTCGTCATGAGTTAAATCAACATAAAAATCTTCAACTTGAATCATTATATTTACGTGAAGCTTACACACGTATTCAAGCATGGAAACAATATCAAGATAAAATATCACAAGAACGTTATAATTGGCCACCACCAATTAATGGTAAAACATATAATAAATATGAAGAAATCATTTATAATGTAAATACAAATAATTATAATTATGATTCATGGTTTCATCGTAATATTTATAAAAATTTTCTAATAAAATCTACTCAACGAAAATATACGAAATATGATTTTGATAAATCTATTTCATATAAAGAAACAAAACTTGAAAAAGAAGTAAAACAATTAAAAGAAAAATTAAAAAATTTTCAATTCTATCAATTAAATAATATTTATCTTAAACCAATGCGTCCTGTTTTACCATCAATATGTTATTGCTTATATAATGGTATTAGTCAAGAATTTGAAGGTCGTTTAAATTATTTAAATAAACGAAAAATTTATCCACCTAATGAAAAATATTATGAACCATTATGTTCATCATGGGATATAACAAGGAATATATGAAAAAAAAATTCTATCGAAATGAATAAAAATATACAGTTGATAAGATTATAATAACTTCATACAGATTTACCTTGTAAACATCCATCGTTAGTTTTTAATTAAAAGGATTTTCTCAAAAAATTGAAAAGATTTTTTTTTGTTAAGTTTTAATGATGATTTTGATAGAATTCTTTCTGTTCAATAATGAATTAAGAAACATATTCTGAAAATCCAAAACCTAGTTTATCAGAATCCAGATTTTCAAAATACAGGTTTCTTTTGACTAAACAGGATGATAGAGTGACTAATTCTGTACAATATGAGATATCTCCGAGCTTTACCATTTTCGGATTTTTCTTAAAATTAATGTAGTTCAGTCAAAAAAAAAAAAATGCTCGGAGACATCTGAAGATTTTGAGAATACAGTAAGAGTTTTATTTTTCTTTAATTATTTATGGTATTTATCATTTCAAATCTATATAATCAATATTTGAAGTCATTGTAATGCTGAATATATATTAAAAGTACATGATAACATTTATTTAAAAAAAAGAAAAAAAAAGAAATATTTATAGACAAATACAAAACAATAATTTTTGTTTTCTTTATATATTTTTAATTACGTTCTCTTTCTCGAATATTTTTATTTCGTTTAAAATCATCATTATTATCATTAACAGATGTTGAACCTGAAGATGAACAATGATTTATTTCATGATTTAATAAAGATGATGAAGTTGATGGTGAAATTGAATAAGAATGTTCATGAAGTGTTGATGATGTTGATGATTGAAGTAAATGTGTAAAATCATTAAAATAAAGTAAAGGAAGTGTTGATGTATTAGAAATTTGTTCATCTGATCGATGAGAATCCATTGAACTACAAATACTATTTTTACTACTTGTATTATCATCTATAGATACTTGTATAAGTTGTTTTTGATTATTATCTAATGATGATGTTGATGATGTTGACATTTTTCTTATACCTAATTTATGTTCAGCTGCTTCAGCATTTGATATATTTTCTGCTTTTTTCCATTTTGTACGACGATTTTGAAACCTAATATTAAATTGTAAAAAATATTCATTTTAATTGTTTTTATTTTTTTTTATAGTCTTAATTTTAAATAAAAATATACCAAATTTTAACTTGTGTTTCAGTAACTGTAAGTAATGTTGCCATTTCAGCACGTTCAGTTGATGATAAATATTTTTTATCTTCAAATTTTTTTTCAAGTTCAAATATTTGTTTACCTGTAAATGTTGTTCGAGCTTTTTTCTTTTTTTTCTTTTGTATATTAATTAATAAATCTTCATTATTATTTGTTAAAATTGATTGACAATATTCTTCTTTATAACTTTTTATTGTATCACCAAGTATATCATTAATATAAAAACTTGTTATACGATTATTTGTTCGTGGAATTTTTGGTAATAAGTTTATCGATGAAAAATATTGTTGATGATAATCATTTGTTGATATTGGCATTATAGACATTATTGAAAACGCAAAAACAAAGGACAAAAATAAAAAGAAACGAATATAGAAGTCAATCTGAAGAAAACTATTTCGAGTAATGAGCACTTGATGTCAACGTATAAGCCTTTTATTTAGACAATTAACAAATTATCAGATGTATATATATATATAGATAACCTAGCCTGAAGGAATCTTGAGAGAAACAAAAAAAACAACAAGAAACAAAAAGAAAAGAAATTCCTATGGATTTGTATTATGATTAGGGAATCAATTTAATTCCTTGATGAAATAATCGATTAACAAATAATTAATAAACTATCCATTCTGTATGTCTGTTAAAACTTACTTTTATATTTGACCTCACTTCACCTACGGCATCTTTTACTATCAAAATTAGTCATGCGCGAGTACAGAGAGAGAGAGAAAGAGAACTAGGAAAGAATCGTCATTATTATCATCATTACTCCCTTGCTCTTTCTCTCTTTTTCTGATTGCTAAAACTCACACGTGTCAAATTACAATTGTCAGGTGTACAAGAGACAAGAACGATGATAATAATGCTCTATTTGTCTTCAATGAGCATCCAGCGGAAAGTTATAGAAGTTAAATGAGTTCTGGATTTTTTTTTCTCTCTCTCTCTTCTTTGTCAAAACCACTAATTGAGAGTCAAATGATAATGATGATCATTTCAAATTACCATTCATGCGAAGTACTATATAGAAGACAAAAAAAAAAAGGAAAAAAAAAAGACTAATGATAATTTATGCTGTGGATGACTAATTCAATCTTATCTCTTTTAACATATGTAATCATCGATTAACGAGAGGTATTATTCAACTATATATATATATATATATATATATGTAAGAAAAGCCTATTAGGATAATGATTATATCGAGTCCTGTCGTCTTTTTTATTTGTAAGTGTTCTCTATTTGTCTGCTTGCAGGTGTACAAAGTCCTGCCCTTGTCTTTTACTAGTTTAGCTATGGTTTTTTTTACCTCTACTATCTAACTCATCATTGTTGTGTATATGTTTATTTTTCCTTGTCTGTTTCTTTTTTTTTTTTTTTTTTCTTTTTATATTCACAACGCACAATCAATTTGAGAGGAAGTATGAAAGAGTTGTTACTCGAGCAGCAATTAGAGACATTAAATAGGTTCCGCTTTGGCACTCTACAACATTGTCATCATCGAATGACAGACAGACAGACGACATAAAAGACAAGAAGATATGGATGCTATTACTTGGTGTGATGCTTAAAGCTTCTCACTCATCTTTTTACTTTTTTTTTTTTTCCTCACTTATATCGTGTTCTATTGTCTTTTTACTATACTCAAGTAATTATAATACAATCATCTAGTCTATCAATTAACGATATAGACAGTTGAATATATCAAAAGAATATCTAATGCATATATTTTTGCTTAACAAAAAAAAAAAAAGAAGCCATTCAACTTATTCATCAAACTAAACTAATAATGACAAACTATCAAAAGAAAAAAATGAAATTCAAAATATAAAGATGAATTCTTGTTGAGTATATATATGAATAAATAAATGAGAGATATACATACTTTATCTAATGTTTTTTAATTGATAACTAACTATCATTTATACCAGAAAATGAAATTCCAACTGTATGAAACCATTAGTAACTATGCAAAGAATCTCGACATGTATACAATTGATTAATATGAAGAATGGATGGTTTCTTTTTTTTTTGTTTTATTTTTCGAATGATGAATCTATTCGTACTCATTTCATTATAGATAGGGGAATGAACAAAAATATGATATGAAAACAATACTGATAACAGAATATAAAATCATATAAAGATATCTTTCAATAATGCCAATTATCTTTTATTCTTCTTTTCAACAAGTTTGATTAATAGAAGAACAAAAAAAAAAAAAGAAAATGAACATGATCTTACATAATAAATATCAGTCTATTTGACATGAATATATAAAATAAACTAGTATCATATCATTTCGAGCTAATCATTATTGATCGATTGTTGGTATGATTATTTAGAGTAAGAAAAAAAAAAAAACAAGTAGTGTAAAGGGATTATATCAAGGGCTATTCTTTGAAGAATGAATGTCGATGCACTTTATCATGTCGACAATATTTAGATTACTTCATACATACCATATGGAATGATATGCTGTCTTTTATAAACTAATATGTATGATAAAAGAAAAAAGATTACAATCTATTTAAACAGACTAGTTTTTTTCTTTTTAATGAGGTTCTTTTTATTATTAATATTCTTAAGCGTTTTTTTTCATAGTCATCATGCATGATATTCATGTAACTACTGTCATCAAAATTGACATTAAGTTATTAAGACTTTCTGCAAAAAAAAAAAAAAAGAAAAGTAGAACACAATGGATGTGACAATTTTAAAGCCATACAAATGAGATATGATTTATATAATTAGACTTTATTTACAAAAATATCTAATTAAAATTTTAAAATAAAACAAAAATAATTATTAAAACTTGATTTTTTATATTTGATTAATTCTTGAATATTTTATTTGTTTGTTTTATTTTTGTTTTGGAAATATTAATTATTTAATATTTATTATTTGTCGATTGATATCTTGACAACATAATCATAGATAACAGATAACTTATTTATAACACAATTTTAGATTTAGAATAAGATTAATTATTCGGATCATTTGGTTCTTTAAAATTAGGTCAAATTCTTACTAAAATTTTTTACGTATAAATTATTATTATTATTATTATTTATTAATTAATTAATAGAAAAATTAACACATCATAGTTAAATATTATTTTATTTTCGACAAAAAATGAAAATCATTGATTATAAATTAATTCTGCTCGATCAATTGTAAAGAAAAAAAAAAAGAAACAGTCAGTTTACATTCAATCAAGATTGATTCTCATGAGTAATATGACACGATATAATCATCGTAGAATATTTCAGCACGAGCATATATATATATATATATATGTATATATTTATATTTATATTTATGTATTGTATATAGGCTGAGTTAGTACAAATAACACATCGTAGACAAAAAAGGAAACCTATTAAAACTAACACATTTCTTTTTCTTTCATCAAGTCATTAATATTGACATTTGTTTTCATTCATTTTTTAACTTTTTTTTCTTTCTCTTAGATAAAATAAATGTTTGTATTGATCGTTCCTCGTATTCGGCAATGAATAGTTATATTTCTATTGGATATTATGTCTCAAACAATCATTAGGTTCTAAATAAAAAAAAAAAAAAAAAAAGAAGAAAAACGAGTATTGGCACCCGAACAAATAGACAAAACATATGTTAGGCAAAGTTAAAAGAGTCGGAAATTATTTCTGTATATGTGTTAAGAGAACGAGTAAGAGATATAACTGTCTATACATAATTACCAGTTAGTTTTTACTATTGATTTACTTTGATGTTCATTATTTCTAGGTTATTCGTATATATGTATTCAATCTTCTCTTATTTCCTGTAATGACTCCATTTGGAATGACATTTGATAAGATTCGGATGATGTCAGTAGCCAAATGATGAGAATATGGTCTATTAACGATTGACATTCATTGTTTTTTGTTTTCTATGGATCTTTTTGCAGTTATACTTATTAGTATAACAATATTAACAATTTGTGGAATTTGCCTTTTTATATTAATTTGTGCATTACAACCAAAAATTATACGGTTAGTTTGAAAAACAAAATAAAATAATTACTTTTATTTAATAGCGAATATATAGATATCATTTTTTGTTTCTTTCAGTTATTTTCATCGAAAAACAAATAAAACATATTATATTACATCTTCGAAAAAAGAAAACGAAATTCAAAATGATTTCAATATGAATAATTTTGATTTAACTACTAAATCCATATCAGATGACTTAGATAAACGAGCGTATTTAAAAATATTAGAACGAAGTGTTAGAACAGGACGACGAATACAAGATGAAAAAGACAATAAAAATCATACTACTACTACTACTACTAATAATAATAATAATAATCCTCATCTAGATTTATTTTATTTTCCTGGTCAATGTATGAATAAAAATTCATCTTCAACAATAACTAATATATCAAGAAGTATAGAAATTTGATTAGAAATTAAGACAAAATGATAAAAAAAAAGAAGAAAAAGTTATTGATTATCTTCTTGCAACCAAGGTAATGGTACACTTAAATCAATATTGCCACCACATAAAATAATACCTACATTACGAATATTTGGATCTAATTGATCAAAATAAGTTAATAAAGCACCAAGTGATAATCCAGCAGCAAGTTCAATAACTAATTTAAGTCGTTCAAATGCAAATCGTGTTGCATTAATCATTATTTTATCGGATATAACAAATACTTGTTTTTCAACTAATGAACACATTATTGGAAATGTAAGTATACCACATTGTTGTAAACGACATGCTTACAAAAAAATGTATATTTTTAAGCAAAAAAAAGAAAAAGGTTTTTTTGTTTTTCAAATACCTTCACATTTTGTTTTAAGAAATTGAGAAGGTTCAGGCCATAGACGTTTTTCTTCTTTTAAACATTCTTCAAGCATTTTTCCTTCAGGTACACATGCATATATTCGAATATTTGGATTAATACGTTTAGTATATAAAGCAATACCACTTATAAGACCACCACCACTTACTGGTACTAAGATTGCATCAAGATTAGGTACTTGGTCAAGAAGTTCAACGGCAATTGTTCCTTGACCTAATTATTCAACAAAGAAAAAAAAAAAACTTCCGATTGAATTAAATCATTCTTCAATATTCACTTACCAGCAATAACATCTGGATGATCAAATGGTGGTATAATTAAAAAACCACGTTCTTGACTAATTTGTAAACAAACCGATGTTCGACTTGCTGGTATTGGTTCACAAATAACTATTTCTGCACCATAATTTTCAATAGCATCTAGTTTATTTTTTGGTGTACCTTGGGGAACAACAACAACACATGGCCGTTTAACAATTGATGCAGCATAAGCTAATGCTTGTCCATGATTACCGGATGAATGTGTAACAAAACCTTTTAAATTTGGGTCAACTTTCATTGCATTAAGTACAGCATTAAGAGCACCACGACTTTTAAATGAACCTGTACGTTGAAAATTTTCACATTTTAAATAAACATTTCTTCCTGTTAATGTATTTAATAATGTACTTGTTAGAATAGGTGTAATTGGTAACGATATAGAACGAAGATGACTTGCCGCTATATGAATTTCAGCCAGACTAGGTATTTCTTTTTCATCCATAATCAATATTAAATATTCTTGAAACAAAACAACAACAACAACAATCAAAATATTCGTTTTTTTTTTAATTTCTTTTAAATATTTGACTGCTAATGTCTTTGTTTTTTTCTTTTCTCAATACACACGCACACACCATATAAGCGCATAACAAATGATATCGAAAACGAAAAATATGACGAAACATAAAGATAAAGAAAGGAAAAAGAAAACTAATGTTTGTGAGAACAGGTACAGAAAAAAAAACGAGCTATAGACAAAAAACAAATCAAAAAGAACACAATACACATATTTATTTTTAAAAATTCGACAGATACTAAATCGTTCTCATCATTGTTTTTTTTTTCTATTCCAGGATAATAATGGGTATATTCTATGTATATTTATATATATATATTTTATTTTTTTGTGCATGTGTTTTTATCAGTCTTTTATATACAAATTTAATTAACCTAGACTGTTCTCTGAAAATGTTATTCGGTGGTTTTATATTGTTTTTTCTTTTTTTTTTTTTTTTTATACAATAAATTAAAAAAGCCATTGCGTCTTTCTTTTTGTTTCTTTTCTCCGCTTCAAACAAAGCAATACGTTCAAGCACAGACAATAGCAGAAAAAATTAGAAAGAGAATGAGAGAGAAAGAAAAAAAGAGCATAAGCAAAAGTTTTTTTTTTTTTTTGTAATAAACAAGTTGATATAATTGACAAGAGAAAAGAAATTATTTGAAATACAATGATACATGCACACACACACACACACACACACACGCGCACTCAATAACAATGAACAATAGAGAATAACGGCAAGATTTATCCATTGTATCGTTTAGTAGGGATAAACAGTGAATCTTTTTCTTTTTATTTGTGTAGTTATTGTTTTTTCCTTTTTTACCAACACCAAAATCACTGTACAAAAAGAAAAAGATAATGAGTAGATATAAAGGTATAGAACCGATTTGACAACACTAAAATTAGAAAATAAAAAACAAATATTAAATATAGTTTTATTATGTATTAATATTTGTATTTAGAAATGCTCGACAAAGAATTAGTTAGACTGGAAGTGAGCAAAATCATATTTTTTCCGTGATTATAGACAACTACAAGGTTATTTTGCCTCAAGAGACAATCACACCAAATATTTTTTTTTTCTGTATACACAAAACCCAGAAGGATCACAGTTCTTTGACAAACGAATTCACTTTCTTCGATAAAAAGAAAAAATCTCAGGTCACACAGGTCTGAACACAATGACTAAGAATTTGAGAAAGAGAATAGTATTGATGTTTCTCTATTTATATCCCTCGATACATGTTATATTAATCGACTATTATGATGTGGCTTTGTGTGCTGTCAGCTAATAGAGATTTTTGTCTTGCATGTTTATTAGGAATTATCAGACTGACCTTCATATTTAACCTAAGGAGACAAACAATTAAGTTAGAATGAAATCTCATGATATCGAAGATCCATATAACCTAAAGCAAATTTATTAATCTTTCGACATTTAATCCTTCTACTATGAATAATCAAAATATACGATCATAATATTTCTTATTGAAAGAATAATTTATTTTATTGTTTATTAGTTTTTCTTTCCTTTAACATGAGTTGTAATTTGTGACCTTTTTTTTTTCTTCTTTCCTATTAAACAAATGAGATTATCTATTAACTTACATGCCGTATATGATGTATTGAACTGTTCTTAAGCAAATAATGCCGTTATAAAAAAAAAAAAAAAATTATTTTCTCGTTTGTTTATTATTTGTACGTCTTGTACGACGATTAAAAAAACAACAACATCTAAATTAGGATAAAAAAAAAAAGAAAACCAAAATTTTCAATAATTATTTCATTTCTTTGATTTATGTCTTACTTTGTATCACTAATAACATCAACATTAGCTGGAGATGATGATGTAATAATATGTGCATGTTCTCGATCAGCACGATCAGTATCTTCATCAGGTGAACTTATTAACTAGAAAAAATATTTATTTCATAGAATTAAAAATTAAATTTAATAAAAATAATAATAAGCAATAGCGATTATTAAACTATGCGACATTCATTCTATAGGGACGGGTAGACAGACGATGACATAATTAAATACCTGTAATGATCCATGTACTTGTTGTGTTGATGGTGAAAGATGAGTATTTAAAAATCCTGAACCAGTTTTGCCCGTCTGAGAGAAAGAGATAGGGTGGGAATGTTGTTTTTTTTTTGTTTTTGTTTTAAATAGATTATCTGATTTTCATAGATTAATATATTCTTTTTGGGAAAGAAGCACTTACTTTATTTAATTGTCGTGCTGCTGGACTAGAGGATGTTTCCGGTTGAGTTGATGTTGGATATTGAGCATTATTAGCAGAAGCCTATTATAAAAAAAATAAGAAGTATTAAAATAAAAAGAAAAAAGTTTTTTTTCTGTTTTTTTTCATTTAATACTTTATTTGTTAATTTTTGCATTTTTTCTACCCAATCAAAATTATAATCACAAGCATAATTTCTAGCATCCATTAAATCTTTGAATAATTTTCTCAAATATTCATACTAGATACAAAAACAGAAAATAAAGAATTTGAAAAACAAAAAATTATATATTCTTACATTAGGAGTTTCAAAAAAATCTAAATTTCGTACATATTTTAAATATTTAGCAAATTCTTCTAAAAACAAAAAAAGAAAATTATTATTAAAATGTAAAATTTATTTTTATTATTTACCAGGTTGACTCTGACATAATACATCAATATGAGTTGCACGTTTAGTATCACCTATTTTTTGATAACGTTCTTTCAATGTTTCAGCTTTTAATCCTTGCCACTAGAAAAAAAAAAAACAAAATGATTTTCATAGATTAAAAACTTAATATATAGTTAAGAATTTCCTATAAAAAACAGATTAGATGTCAGACAAAATAAAAATACTGATTTTGTTATGAAAAATATTTCTATCGTGTTTTTATTTAAAGGGCAATGAATGGACACCTATCACTTCATACTATCTGTCTAAACTTAGTTAAATTTCATTAATGATCTTAGTAAGAAATCTTTTCAATTGATGACATTGAGCAATCTATATTAAAAAACAGTCTTATCCTTGAAAAATCATTTTTGTCAAGATAAACTTATTACAAATATCTCAATGGCATTATAATTCATATTTCATTTTAAATATAATACAATTCAACTTAGTAACATTTTAGAATTCGAATATATATATATATATTACAAATCATACCGGTAAACTACCACGTAAAAAATACATAAACATATGCCCCAATGCTTCTAAATCATCTCGACGACTTTGTTCTATAATAAAAAAAAGAAAGAAAAATTATTTTAATATTAAAATAGAAATCTAACCTTTTCCAAGATGAGTATTAATACTCATATATCTCGCTGTACCTAGAAAAAAAGAACCAACATGAATTTTAAAAAAAACTCAAAATATTATTTTATCATAAACAAACCCGTTAAACTTTTATGTTCCCGAAATGGTATATGTCGACCGGTATCAGGATCGATATATTCTTTAGCTAATCCAAAATCAATAATATGTATCAAATGTTGTTTACGTGTAGATGAACGTCCAATAAGAAAATTTTCAGGTTTAACACTTCAAAATAATAAAATATGAATTTTCTTTATTTTTAAAATTAATTTTAAAAAATAAAATTTACTCTCGATAAATTAAATTTTTTGAATGAACATATTCCATACGTGTAATCTAAATAAGTAAAACAAAAAAATATTTTATCTTCTCATATGAATATATTTTTATACTAATTGAATAGCGATCATAAGGACGGTTTTAAGTGAAAATTTTCGATCGCAATTATCAAATAAATCTTCAAGAGATGGTCCAAGTAATTCAATAACTAAAGCATTATATTTTCCACATGGTCCAAAATAATGTACTTGTGGAATTCCTTCTACATTAAAAACAAAAAATTGAAACATATATTTCATAGTTTTCTATTTATTAACAAACCACAATTTCCAAGTTGTCGATAAAATCGATATTCAAGATGAAGTTGTGGTGCACGAGATTTCATAGGTTCCTTGAAAATAGAAAAGATAAAATCGTTCAATTTCATACATTCATCGTTTTCTTTTTGTTAAATTAAACTTACTAATTTAATTGCTACATGTTCATTATTATACAAATTTTTTCCTAAACGAATTTCTCCAAAATTTCCAGCTCCTATACGTTTTCCTACACGAAAATTAGGTCCAACCATAAGCATAGCATTAGGACCGGAACTATTTGTAACAACATTTGGTGCTGTTGGTGTTTCATTCAATTTTTCTACTGTATTTGTTGCTAAACCTGGTCCACGTCCTGTACGTTGATCACTTTCTATAATTGATGTTTGTAAACCCGATACAGTTTGTTTTAAATTAGAATTACTTTGATTTATTATTTCATTTTCATCCATTCTTATCGTAATATAATAAATAAAAATGTTGACACCATGTATTCTGAAGAGTAAGAAAATATAATTAAATTAAAACAAAAATATAGAACAATCTAATGTAAACATTGGTGATGATATGATTTTTTCTTTTTGAGTACAACTCTAAGAATGCAACGATACTCGACTAATCAATCATTGAATTCTATGGACCAATAATACATTTATGGTACAAAAAAATAGAAAAAAAACGATTGCATAGATGGAGTTATACTACTTATTAATGACATCTATTTGAACGATCAAATTCAATGCTTGGTAACAATATATAATCGTTGATGTAAATGAAAGAAATGTAGAAAAATTTATTTTTGTAACAAAAACTTGTGCTTTAAAAGTGAATTATGACTGATAATATTAATAAATTATCACAAAATATCGATGGAAACAAACAGCAACAGACGGCTGCTTCTATTGTTAATTTGACAGATGACGGTAAGCTGTAGTAATTTTTATATTTTTGTTTCGAATCATCTGTTGTACTAAAAAAGAGAACAGACAAAATATCACCTTCAAATAAGGTACTTGTATCAAGATGTCTGATGTCTTTTATAGACAAGACAAAAACATAAGTCTGTTTCTTGGCGATTATTTAAATTAAAATTTTTTTGAAGATTTTTAGTTTTTCAACGAAAAACCTATCTCCGTTAATTTTTATTGAATCGATCAATTGAATTATTTGAGGATAATTAAAAATCGACCATTTTTTCAATATTTATTTGAAAGATGAAACCTTATGTTAATCTTGTGACGTCTTTGATCAATCAATAGCGACACTTTTAGAGATGCGAAAACGCAATAGCAAGAAATCTTTTTTTTTTTCTTTCAAGTGTGTTGTTATTTATAATGATTGACGTTTTTTCTTCAAGGATAGTACAATATTTAAAGAATATATTTATTAGTACATTTTATCATTTATATTTTACATCAATATAAACTAATAGTTTTTCTTAGATAATACTAAGATATAGTTATTTTCTGCTTTGTTGAAAATAACGGAACTTTCTACCGGAATGAATGTATCGAAAGTTTTATTCATTTTTGATCTGCATGAAAATAGAGTCGTGCGAATGGGATCAAAATGTTTTAATGTTCTTTATGAAGATGAGTTCAGAAATTTCATCGAACGACAAATAAACAGATATTTATTATGTGCGCAAGTCGTTTTGAACAAGTGTTAAGAACGGTTCAACGGATTTATTTTGTAGAGCACATAAGTCTTTGCAATGTATGATGTAGAAGTAAAATTAGGAAGATTTTCTCAAAAAGCTATTTCGACATAAAAAAAATTCGATCTATGAAAAATAACAATGATAGATATGTGAAACAAAATTTCAGCATTCTCAATAGGAAAAGTTTCCAGTTTAAACTAATTTTTAAATGGTCTCAAAGTTTCTTTTACTGCTTATCAAAAACAAAAACAGTACGACATTTTTGAATTCATTTTCGGTTTCGGCATATTCGTTATTATAAAAATTTATTTAAGAACCTCTCTCAAAAATCGCATGAAATTTTCGGGAAATATTCAATAAACAAGATTGAAAAAATAGTTTATTTAACCGTTTGAAGTTCTCTTTAGGCACTCATTCGATACATTTTTATTTGAAAGAGCATGCGAACACTGCAATGCCGAGTTTTTGTTTTTCATTCTTACTTTTTATGCGAAGGAAAAGGATGACAAATACAGTACTTTGAAGAATGATCATCTATTTATAGAAATAGTTTTTTTTTTATATGATAATAAAAGCTTCATTAGAAAAGAAAACCAGATACTGCAGCTTCACATGTTCTTTCAACAAGTAATTGGCTACAATGAAGTTCCTTTTGAAAATTGTGAGATGGTCAGTTAGAAAAGCTCATTTTTGCTTTATATCATAGATGTGATTAAAATTTGGGATGCAGTATCAGCATTTATTGAATCTTATATGAAACAATCAAAAGTAAAATAAATATTATTTTTAATTTTTTTTTTTTATAAATTTTAATTAAATATAAATTAATTAGGGTATTATTATTCCTGGTTTTGGTACATTTAGTTTTATACATAAACGTATTGATGTTGGAAATAATAAATTTTTACTTATTCAACGACCTGCTTTTGTTTTATCAGAAAAAGTTGCACAAACACATAGTTTAAAATATACACATTATCCTATAAATGGTTCAATACCAATTCATCCATTAAATTATTTTTATATACAAACACAAACAATATATACACGTGATCAAATTGAACAATGTGTTAAACATGTTTTACAAGTATTTAATCGTTCTATAGTTGCACAACGTAATGTTGAATTTACATTTTCACATATTGGAAAATTACATATACGTAATGGAAAAGTTAAAATGAAATTTTTTAAAGATTTTATTAATTCAGTTGATGAAAATGGTGGAAAACATATTATTGATAATATGTGCAATGTAAGAAACAAAAAAAAAAACAAAATTTTTCATCAAAAGTGAAAAATAATTATTAATTATTTAGAGACCACATACATGTGATTCAGTTATGTCTGAACGAGAAGCAACTCGACCACCATCATCTTCAAATGTTATTCTTCCACGGTATGTTTTTTGTTTTTCAATTTGTAATTTATTCAGATCATAGTTCTAGTTGAAATTTTTCCAAACGAAAAAATTCAATTGAATTGAAAGATAAGCATAATGCTCATGTTGAGTATAACAAAAAAAGAACGAGCAAAAGTAAATTCGTTTAATGAAAATGTGAGCGTACAAATATCAGCTGTTAGGAAAAGAATGTACGTTAAACGCTGAAAATTAAAAAAAGAAGGGATTTAATTGTTAACAATCATAACAAATCGGTCTAATTCGAACTTTAATAAATTCCACTGTGACAAACTTAATTTCCATTCATGGCATTTTCAAGTTCCAAGTGTTGTTCATACTCTATTGTTTTTTAAATATTGTAACGCCACATATATGAGGAGGAAAAAATCGCCGAACAAAATTTTTTCGGTTACAAGCAGTTGTGATCGCGCTGCTCACTAAAATCGTGTTATGATGATGACCACTTCTGCTGGTATTTTAGGACTACTGCCACCCTCCATCTTGTTTTTAGGTGTAGCGCACGTCTCTGTAATAGAAACAAACAAACAAAAAAATATTGATCGTTAACTGATGGTATAGAAATAAACAACTTCATTAAAAAAAAAGATCATTTTATTTTTTGAGTTTAAACAAACTTCAGTGTTTACCGACAGATTGACAAAATAGCGTGCATGAAGATAAAACAGTTTTATCGATAATTATCATGAAGACTTCCTTATCTGCAGAACTTTCAGATATTTTGTATCATGTTCTACTGTTAAAATATTTTAAATAATATCTCAATCATTCAATTTTCTTGTGAATTTTGCATATGATCTGAATGTATCTTAAAAGTTTCAGAACACTTCAAGACTGAAGTCTTCGCTGTTTTCTACTCGATTAAAAAGAAGCTCTTGATAATCGGAAAAAAGAAAAGTAAATCATGAAAATATACTAATGACTGTACAAAGTTATGCATTGTACTTAAATATAGAGATGTGAAGTAAAACATGAGTTCAAAAATTTACATAACGCCGAATCTGACTGTGTATGTAGATTAATACTCTATCAGATTCTTCTTCAGAAGACGCAAATTTGTCATATTTTATTTTTATGCCATATGTGTAATTTTAATTTGTGCATCTTCAATTTATATTTGAAAAAAATTTGAATGTTATAAAACACCACAGTCAATATTCTCAAAATAAAGAGCAAACTAATATTCATAAACTATCTATGTGGTGTATTTCATCAAGAAAATTCAAAAATGAGACATATCCACTGCCATTCATTTGACTTTGATTCTTTACAAGGATTATTTTTTTTGAATAAGTTCTTTTAGCATAGACATATGTAAAAATATTGATTCTTTCAGCAGTTGACTATTCCATTGAAAACTAATCTTTTTTACTGATAACTTCTTTAAACAAAGATCTCTAGTGTTGATTTTTTCAAAGTATTTAGAGTAACTTAGCATACATGTAACATGTAAAAATTTGTTCGCGGAAAGTTTATTATTACAAGATACATGTGTTTTAATTTTGCGAAGTCATGTCTCTTAGGAATAATTTGATACCAATAGAAATCATTGTTGATCCTTATTTTCTGTGTAGACTTAACAGTCGTATTGGTAATTCATCAATGCAAGTAATTCAAGAAGAAAATCAAATTGATGATGAAGATCAAGAACAATTACAGCAAGGTAAAAATAAGATAATTTATTTATATTATTTGTTTTATACAAAAACAAATTCTTTCTTCATTTCATACAGATATTATTCGAGTTAAGAATGATGATTTTAAATTACCACCTCTTACTGAAACATCGGGAGGTAGAATTTCTTGAATGTACACATATTGATTTTCTTTTTTGAATATCACCTATTAAATAACATCAATAGAAAATAGTAAACTATATTCTATTTAGCATTTAGTTTCCGGAAAAAAAGAAATTAGTCTACTATAGAACGGAAATAAGAAGAAAGAAAACGCCGAGTTCTGTGCTTCGTTTTTTCTTTTCTAATTTCTTTTACTCATTGTAATAATACTCCTTTTTGATTGCACATATGTTTGATGTCAAAAAGAAATCTGCTCGTCGTCAATCGTCTATAGGACGATTTGATTATTCAAATCAAACAATTTTATTTCATTCTTACATAGAACCAATGAATTCTACAACAACATCATTATCATCAAATGTAATAAAAACAACTGGTACAGGAACTTCAATAGATAGTATTGTTCCAATTGCATCACTTTTTTCTTCAACGGATTTTGTTCAACCATCTACAACAATTAAAAAAACTCCACCACCACCACCACCTTATACTCCAATGAAACGATTAGTATCAGTTCATCAAACTGAACAAGAAAATGAACAAACATCAATGTAAGATTGAGATTTTTTATTTCAATTTTTGAAGATTAAAAAAGAACGGAGCTTGTTAGCGCAACCTCAGTGAGGACTGAAATGTGAAACTTACATATTCCGTATAACTTATAAAGCTTAGAACGAATGTAATGGAACAACCAAAGGTTTATTTGCTTATTAATCAACGTTACTGACAAAATATCAAAATTATTTTCGATATGATTAAATTGATATGAGTTCTTCTGTATATAAAACTAAATAGAACATTGATTAGTGAACTGATGGAATATTATAAAAATATCAGTATTTTATAGGGCAAAGCCATAGAAGTAAATGACTTTTAAGACATTGAATATTTCAAGAGGGAATACATTACAATTTAGATTTGCAAGAGTACTTCACCTAAAAATTGAAGACCTCGGTAAAAACATCAACACACTGATTGGATAAAGTATAGATTCGAATCGAGGAAGAAACAGCGAACTTCAAACTCGAACTCTCTCCTATTTCTTCCTTGTTGCAAATCAATTAAGGATTCAACTTAGTTCTAATTATGAATCCAATAAAAGCTTGATCAGCGTTCTCTAGTTGAGGATGTTTTCTTGTAAGAAATCTTAAATAAGAACGTACAACATTGATACATAGCACAATCATTCTACAATGATTGAATAGATATAGAATGAAAACATAGGCTTCAAGTTTTTTGTAAAATATATTCATCCTAAAAAATGGATTTGAACAAATTTCGAACTCATATATATAAATGCTGACCTCATTACAGTTATTGGTTTTTTTTTACCTATGACTTTTATATTTTCCTTTCTGTCAGAATACAGAACATGATTCTAAATTTTAATTACTTCTGTAACAAAAGAAAAAAAAATTGTCAATAATGATTTTCTTTTATAACACAATATTCGACATTGTATTTCTTTATAAGTAATTAATTTACAAAAAAAAAAACTATTTTTGTTTTTTTTGAATCTAATTTAGAAATCCTCCTGTTATACGATCAACAAATGAAAGTATTTCTTCGTTGGGTTTTACACGTACAGGAACAGATCGTATAAGTGCACGTGATCGTATATCATCATCATTAAATGTTTATCCTCAACAATATCAACATATACTAACTAAACCTTTAACATCATGTGATCAACATGATATGAATCAAGAACTTTGTTCTGTATGTCATCAACGTGCTAAACGAAATATACCAATTTATTTACATGAAGAAAAACGTATGCGTGAAGCTGAAGAAGATAAATTACTTGAAGAATATCAACATAATCGAGATATTGAAAAACAAAAACAACATGAAGTAAATCAATAAGAAAATTTTGTTGTTTTTTTTTTCAAAGTTTTCTTTATTTATTAGGCAGCTATGAAAGCAGCTCGAGAAGAAAAACAAAAAATAGCTGCTGTATGTAATAAAAAAAATATATATTTGTATAGAAAGAATAAATCGATTCTTTATATTTATTTTTTTTTTTGATAGTTCAATTTAGGTATTGCACAAGCAACACGAGCTAAAAAATTAGAACGACCACAAACAACTGATATACCAGTTAAGATTTCTTATATTAAATTCAAAAAAATTTTTTAAATTTTTTCATATTTTAGCGTTCAATTATATTTCGAAAACGTGCTAAAACACCTCCTGGTTATATTCGACAAAAAGATTTTGCTAAACAATTAGAAACTCAAATTAAATTAAAACAAGATGAACAACATTCAGAAAAACGAGATAAAGATTTTATTGAACGTTTAGAACAAATACAATTAGCTGAATCGTATATTGAAAATGCTTTTTTTTTATTTTACTTTTCAATGAACATTTTTTTTTTACTTTAGATTGGCACAAGAACGAGATAATTATTTCAAAAATAAACGTCGTCATCAAGAAGAATTAAAAAATGCTTTAGACAATCAAGTAATTCAATTCTGTCGGATAAAATGATCACATTGCATCTAAAAAAAACCACTTATATCGTTCTGTAGAACAACACATGGTGCATTGAGCACCATATATCAGTTAAGGAATATTATAATGATTGTGAATAATTTGACTGAATATTATGACTCAGCATGTCTTATAACCAATCTATATAAAGATTTGTTTAAAGTTACTTCAATAGAGTTTTGTTTGATCCTTAATCGTATATGTCTAATGATTCTCAGAATAGCTTTCTTCGTAAGCCAATACTTTAATATTTTAACTAGCTTCTATAATTTTTCGCTTTCGTACAGCTCGAGAAGTGTACGGGAACTGACTATTACAAAGATTAATTTTTATTTTAGTGCTGTCTTATGAGAATTAAAAATATTTGTTTTCCTTTTTCGAAAGATCTATGTATATAAAATCTATAAAAAAATAAAAAGTTACAGAAGCTAGTAAAAATTCTAAGATTTTGGGTTACGAAGAAAACTATTCTGAGAATTATTAGATATAGGCCAAGTACGAATTGCTCTACAAAACGATATAAGCGACTTTTCAAATGCAGAATGATTATCTCATCTGACAGGATCTTTTTCTGTTTTTTAATTTTTGATTCTATAAATAAAAATTAGATTCGTAATAAACCTACTGAATTACCTACATGTGAATCCGAAACACCTTATTTTGGTTTGCATGATGTGTCACCTGAACAATTACAAGAACGTCGTCTTCATGCAATAGAAATTGTTCGTCAACAAAAAGATCTTATTGAACAACGACAACGACAACAATTACTTAAACAAATACGAGATCAAGAATATGAATTAAAAATATTAAATACTATAAAGAAAGAGTATATATTCAATTGAATCATAAACAATAAAGAATAATTTCTATTTGTTTTGTTTTTTTTTTCGTTTGTTAGTCTTTTATCGGACAATCATGAACGAAATCGTCGTGATTTAACAATACGTAAAGATCTTGAAATAAATTGGATAGAAGCTACAAATGAAAAACATAAACATGATCAAGATGAAAAAATGTTTTTAAAAGCTCCACAAGGTGTTCTTATACATGAACAATGTGATCAATATAAACGATGTGTTCAATGTCAACGTAATTTAAATAATCAAGGTAAAAGTAATTTTTGGAAAGATACACGATATATACCTGGAACGCATATCATGGTTTAAAGATTAATTAATACATGCACATGCATTACCCGGTTATCATCAATAAAAAATAAAAAACACAACAAACATTCATATTTCAAATCTGAATAACATATTTTTATGTATTTTTTTTGTTTTGTTTGCCTTATTCTGATAAATAAAATACACGATGAACTCAAGAGAATGACTACTTCACAGGAAGTAGTTTAGTAAACATGAATCATTTCGGTTAAATATGGATGGATTGCAACTTTTTAGTATGATTGAAATTTTGGTCGGTATTTTGCTAATCACTTCTGTTCTTCTCGACCGATTTGAGTTTCCACTGTCACATCAAATTTCAGTTCATACTGTCGCTGAGTTATGAGCCTTATACTGTGAAAGGATGGATGTGGGTGTGACTGGGAACATTATCTTCATTAACCCATATCCTTTTTGAAATGTTTTAAATCTTTTCAATGCCGGATTAACTCGGAAAACTATATAAATAAATAAAAAGCAAATTATCACATATAGAAGTAAAGATTTATTTTATCAAGCAGGATGTCGGTAAGAGAGTCTATAATCATACTCATACCCTTGAAAATCTGTTACTGTATACACGTTTTCTAATTACGAAACGATAAAAGTAATTCTCTTTATTAAAATAAAATTGTACAATATCAAAATTACAAAAGATAATTTTATTCATTTCTAATTAGAAAAATTTCACATGTGTCATTGTTATCGTCCATAATTTTCATTGCTATAGGTTCACTAATAAGTATAATATCATCACATAGTCGATTTAAATAATTATACATTTGTTTTCCATTAGATACAGCTGAACAGGCACACATAGCTGCTGTAAGAACTACGCCGGCAGCAATCAAAGGAATAGATAAGCCACGAACAGTATTTGTGACTCCCCCGCTAACGCCTCTAAGAATATCATCAGACATGGAAACACCAGCGATACCAACAGTTGCTGCAGGTCTAAGGAGAACTGATGTTCCAGCATTGACGTTCGATGCAATTGCAGGAGCTCGTAATTTAAATGTACTTTTGAATGCTGATGTTTTCAAACTATCTTTATCAATTTCAATGTCAAAGTTCTCGAGATATTCTTTTAGTTCATCTTTCTTACCAGTCCACCAAGCCATGAAACGTGAACGATTATTAATGCCAAATACTTGACGAATTTCTTCACGTCCTAAATATCTTGGTATTAAATCAGCAAATGGTACAACAGCAGCTACTCCAGCATATATTTTATATTTCATAGTCAAACCAAAAACAGTACTCACATTGACGACCACACCTCATTATCACATCCACCTTATTGCAGTTCGAGAGAGTTAACTAAAAGATGATGCTAAAGTGGATCCCAAGATCGATAGAAGAAAACAATATTCTTCTGACTGGTAACAATAACTGCAGTGTGTTTCAAATTCGAATTTTACAGGGATTGTCATAACAGCTTTTTCTTCTTAGTTGTCTACAATTTATAGAGTTTGGCAGACACCATTCTTATTATGTATGTGTTGAGCTTTTTTCAAATTTAAACAAGCCATCTAGTTGTCGCTATAATATGAAAGATATGACTGTGGATGTTGGTGATGCCAGCGAAGATGTGTATGTGCTATTCAACCCTACACTCATACCTATTCAAAATAAAGCCAAATATAATGATATTAAAATGAATATGTTTAATCATGGGCACGTTTTCTAATTTATCTATTTCTGAAATTGCTTGTCGATCTAAATCAAAAAATGAAATCTCTTCTAAAACTGTATCTAATGGAACATAACTAGGTCGACGAAGAGATTCATTTGATGGATAATAGTAAAGTATTGCTTCAAAATAAGCTCGATGGTGATCATAAAAATCTGCATTTTCTCATTCATTACAATAAAACATTCATTTTTGTTTATTATCTAATAATGTATTTGGACAATTTTCAAGAGTAGATAAATATGTTTGGTATTACTTCTCACTAACATTTATTGTATTCTATGATGCTATTGATCATAGATGTTTCTTTTTTCTATTGATAATGAATTGTGATTATTTCTATAAACTTCAATCAAACTATCATCTACAGAGATTAAGACTTTAGTGAAAAAAATAATAATTAAAATAAATTCAATGTGAAGGTGTGGGTGTAGAGTTTCTCTATTCCATCACACCCACATTCACACCCTACAACTTATCGATAGATCAATGTATTTTGAGTAAATCGAAATGAATATGTTGAAAACAGGCTTTTTCTTTCTGTGCGAATTACATAGAAAAAGAAAGACAAATGGTACTATAATACACTGTAGAAGAAAAAGCAAAATAATCAACCCTTGTCCTATAAAAACATTTTTCATAAATGAAACCTTAGTAAAACTTCGGAATCCAATTGGCTTCGTATAAAAACATTAAAGGTTTACGTAAGCAAAATGATTCCGCACTAGACTAATCTTTTTCCTCGTCTCATCTATCCACCAATCAAAAACTCGACTGTTCTGATTTAGTTCTTCTGAAAATCAATTAAAATTTGCTATATAATCGATTTTGAAAATTACATCACTGTATTCAGACTTCATATTTTCCTATACGATATCTATTACTGGATTAACAGAGAACAGGACACTTGTACAACAATTATATCTTCTTCTTCACTGAATCCTTGAGTGGTTTGAAATTTGCCGAAAGAAATATAGAATTTTCGATGAATCATTATTAAAAGCAATTCAATAGACATAAACCTTAAGTAGCTTTACCTAAAGATTAATGTTAATTAAAACACGGACGGTAGGCATTACTTGATTCGTTTATATTAGCGAGTATCGTATCACTGAACCGTTAATTTCTTCCTCTCATACTTGGCTTTTGTTCAAATATATTCAAATCACATAAAACTATTAGGACACATGCTGGGACTGTGATGAAATGGCTACTCGAAAATTTTCAGTCCGATACCACGATGTTTTCGGTGGATATGCATAAAATAAGGGTCAAAATATCTCATTTGATCTCTCAAAACTCTTTCTGAACCTTCATTCAATATTTTCAATCTTTTGTTTGAAAGGACATGTAAAAGTGCAATACCCGTTGAATTCTTTTCTTTTTATTTCTTACTGGTTTTTTTTTGAGAAGGATAAAGATCACAAAACGATATCTCAAAAAAGGGTTAAAAAGTTCTAGATTTGTAAAGTATCGAAACGTTATCCTTTTCCTCTTCAAAAAAGGTGTGAGTTTAACAAAAAAAAGGGCTTCAACAAGCGCTGTTACTGTTACATGCTTTTTCAATCAAAAAAAACCTGAGCATATTTTAGGACGGGTAGCGTTAACGTTTAATTTAAATAGTTTCTGATAATGCACAACTTACTTAAAGTTAATAGCATAATTAGTTCGTAAGGGAGCAATACTGTTCTATTCAATTTTTCTCTGTCAAAGAGGCCTATTTGGTGAAAATAATGTTTTTTTTTAAATAAAATTTGACTAGCAGGTTTCGAGTTATACTATTAGTCAACTTTTCTAAAGCAAAGTTATTTTCGCAGACTAGACCTTTTCTATGGCAAGAAAAATTTATTGGAATAGTATTGTCCTTAATAATAACACTTTTTCAATGAATTTTTAGTAAATTATATTTTACAAGGAAACAAACTTAAATTTAATATTAACGTTTTCTCAGCGTCAAGCAGACATTGAGCATGCCGAGAGAAGTAGTGATGATACGCGAAGTATGGTAATTAACTTTAAATCGTAATACATTCGAAAGATATTGAAAAAGAAGTTATATAACAAATTAAAAGTTGTTGCAAGTCTTGAGCATTTAATTCATTACTGTGACGAATTAAGATATAATGTTATAATATTTGTCAATTGACACTCGATGTCGATCAGAAAGAATACAAACTTGATCTAAATTTGATTAATATATTTATTGACAAGATCGTCAAAATTTATTTCGAATGAAGAAAAGGACGTGCATTTAGCAAGCGTTCATCAGAACAAAAATCACTGTGCATATAAAAAAAAAAGATCTCTAATTTTGATGTTTTCCACTATGACGAAGAGTGACGTATTACAAACAAAGTGTACTAAGACTTGAGTTAGTAGAAAGTATTTTTCAAATGGATAAGAAACTTTGACATACCATTCTAAAAATGTACAGAGCTTTTAATTGTGATTAGATGCTATTAGAAAAGCTAAAAGTATAAAGCATGCATAAAATAAAATAAATAAATCTTAGAAATTGTTCATTTTGTCTGTGCAAATTGTGAAATAATAATCAGCGATTAAAATGGTGTTTTGATCAATCTAATAACAACATCTTCATCTCGATCTTGTTGTAAGAAATCTTTAAGTTTATAATTAATATAACCATTTCTACGTGTATTTGCTAAGACTTCAATTAATTTATCGACTCGATCAGCTCCATAGATCTAGAAAGAGAAATAAATATATCTGTCAGTATCGAGGCGTATATGTAATTTGTATTTTGACATATTATTACATGAGAAAGTGCTACATCATACGATGGTTTAGAGTGAAATCGACACTTCTAACTTGGTGTAGGACAGCTCCAGTTCAGCTCGATTAGTTAATGACTAAGGCTATCAATAATGATATTTATTGAATTACTTCATATATATCTTCAGAATGTGTTTATTTCACATTCGATGTCTGCTTATCTAGGAGAAAGAAATATATCGACACAACCTACTCCTGACATCTCATAGCTTGTTAACTATTCGTCAACCATTGAAAATATAAATAGGTCTGTTCTGTTCTCTTAGCTATTAATCTTTATACTTACCGGTATTAATTCACCAAATGTAATTTCCATTGAAAAATCACCTTGTCGTCCATTTTCTTTAATCAATCGATAAATATGTTGAAATTCCTGCAGTATTTGATATTCAATATCTGGTTGACTAGAAATTTAAAAAAAGAATACAACTTGATTATTGCCAAAGTTGGCAAAAGTCAATTTATGACATTTACTTATGCGGAGAATTTGCTGGTAGTGGTGGTGGTGCTATTGGTGTTGGCTTTTTTTGATGTACTTTTTCTTGAAATTCAAGAAGACATTCATCTAAGCTAGTTGTTGGTCTGTCAAGTTTTTTATGCATGTCTTTGTTAAAAGAAGCCATATTATTGTAGTAGGTAATACAATAAACTTTTATCTTGTGTCACGTTAGTTATAGATAATATGAATGGTATGGAAAGATAAAGAGAATGAAAATATCTACGTAGAGATGTACAGTTGTTTTTGTTGTTCTTACTTAAAGAGATATTTATGACTTATGATAGAAAGAAAAAAGGAAAAATATTGGCGACTAGTTTTTTCTTTCCTTTTTCTAGATGCATATAATCATAATAAGTTGCCATCTCTTTCTGTTCTATTCTTGGATAACTAAGGAAGTAGATAGCATTCGTTTAGATGTGGAAGAACTATAACAAAAATATTTTCTATTCATATAAAATATATTTTGAATTGAAAACACGTCTGAATCTGATTGAAACGCGAAGATGAGCACGTCTGTACATATTTCAAATGAAATTTAAGAAATCTAGAGAGAGGGGGTGGTCTCTCTGTCTATAGAATTTTTTTTTGTTGACCATTTTGTAGAGCATGAGTAGAAAAGGAATACCTACATCCTCGACAGTTTACTCTTAAGGATAAATTACATTTTTCATTCGTTAATAATGTCTTACGTAATTATATCATGTATTTTCGCTTTGACAAAGCAATCTTCTAAACTTCTATGAACAGAAAGATATGGCTGGATCCATGACTGTGACGGAATAGAAGAAAATTTTATGTATCTTTTTTAAAAAGGGTTTTACATGAGCTAGGATGTGACTTTCATCTTCTGTTCGCTCACATTCATGACATCAAAGTCGAACTTATATTCATATGACTGCTCTTATGTTATTGGCTTCCATGTATGTTAATCTTTTATTGAACTTGAAGAAACGAACAGGTTTTTTCCTAGTATATAAATACATAAAGAAATTTGTTTATAAGTATATTAGGATTATAGAACTCAAGTTTTAGAAATTTTTCTCTTTTATAAACGGAGAATGTTTGCATTGGAATCAGATATGACCGAAACATCCAAACAAATCGTCAATAGAGTGAATATGCTTCTCAAAGAAGTAAATGACACTTATCGATCTTCTCTGTCCTTCTTTCGTGGTATAACATTTCGAGATTTTGATTACTTGAAATTGGTTTTATGCACAATATCTGAAATCCGCATGAAAAAAAAATACATCTAAAGCTTTATTTATCGTGATAAACTACTTCCTATCATGATTTTATTCCTAGAAGGCGAGAGGCAAAAAATTAAAATTATGAAATACTGAAGAGATGTGCTTGAAATTCCTATAGGAAATATTTTAAGATAAAATAAAGAATATTAGGAATATTGTTTTTTTTCATTTCGATCCCGAATACTGTGATTATTTTGTAAAAATTCAATTTAAAGGTATCAATACTTTCAAATACTATTCATTTTCTAATCTTTTTAATAAGCATGATACTTGACATCCACACCCGTATGAGAAACAATTTAGTTGTCAATCAAAAGATCTGCCTCATAGCTAACGAGTGATTCAAGAAGAATGACGATATCGTTATTTTCTTAATATTTTTATTCACTTCTATAGTTTTGTACTAAATAATTTTTCCAGAAGATTCAGTGTTTGACTCTGTACAAAAATATGTGTAGTTGAATTTTACTGCGGAAATTATTTTTCATTTTATTTTCTACAAGGACAACGCTACTAAAAATTTTGATGCAGCATCGAACATTCAAAATATTCCTATGCATTTGATATGATTGGGTTTACTATGTGAAGTCAGTCAATGTGAGGTATCATTAGTTTCGAATTCAACTAGACTTGCAAACTGTGACTTAGTAGAGATTAAACCAATCACAGATTAGTTCTGAAAATATCATCATTAGTTCAGTAATGTGAATTCCTTCGATCAAATGTGCAAGTAAAATGAAAAAACGTATCTCTTTATGAAAATTTGAAATTTCTAAAATATTATATGTTCTTTATTCTAATTGATTTTCTTTTGAAAATTTTCAGGATGTGGATGTTGGTATAGGTGTAGAGAAGACTACCCAAGCAGACAAAATTTTGAAAAAACGCGTTTAAAAGCATAGAAATTGGCCTAAAATCAGGCAAAAAGCGGACATTTTTGTGCGTTTAAGCACGTTTACATGCATACAAAAAAAGATAAAAAGTGGTCGTTTTTTCATACTCGAGATGCGCGATCATGATTACAGTCATGTTTCTTGAACTGAAAAAACACAACAGCTTTTTTCTCTTTTTTATGTGCGTGTAAACGCGTTTAACCGCTTAAAAAAGGGCGAAAAATGGGCGTTTTTGCTGATTTTAGGTCAGTTTCTGTGCGTTTAAACGCGTTTTTTTCAAAAGTATGCCTGCTTGGGTTACGCTGATATAATATCGGATTTTTGGTATCTCAGCGATTCTGGTCAAAGTTGTGTTGCTTTCAATAGGATGGAACATACACCATTTTATGGAGCTCATCGAGTTGCATCGAATAAGCTATGTCTCAGTAGTGCCCCAGGTGGGGAGCAAATGATCAGATACAAGCTTTTTTTTAATTTTTTTTTGATTGGAGAAAATCAATACTTTTGCGTTCATTTGTGTGGCTCAGCTTTTATGAAAAATCTGAAGGCAACGTTCGATAGACATCGCCGAAGTGCACTTGTCTCATTGCATTCCTGAGTCGACTCAGTGAATAGAGGCGAATCGTTCTTGAAAAAAACGCAAATTGGCTGCTTACTTCCCTTACATCATCAAAACATATTTTTATGGAAATTCTGCTCGTTCCTTTTTTATCATTGAATGATCATTTAGAAACAAAAGAATCATAGTCAAACGAAAAGAAGGTCAAATGAAAAATGTCAATTCGATGCTGGATAGTTTTCAGCGAAATATTGAAGGTTGTCGGAGTTCGCGAGCGCCTTGGTCGGACTGCTTCGAGCCAAAGATTGAGCCGCGCTTTGACCATATGCGTGATCATCCGTATCGGCCACTATTGTGAAGTGAGCTAATTCATGAATAATCGTGCCACCCTTACTGTCCGTACCGGTCAGCGACGATGGCCAGTATGCACCGCACAGGTATATTTTATAGTGCTGGCTTGAGTAAACGTAGGCATATGTGTTGGAACCTCCAGCAGGGCACGAACAGTCAAATACCAGCGACTTGGTTTGCAACGCACTTTGAATTTTCGAAAAGTGTGATTTTAATTTCTGCCAATTGTTGGACAAATATCCGCCAAACCATTTGGTGTAGCGTGCCGTGCCCGATGGCTGTCTGTTCAGATGGTTCATGGCGTCGTTGGCATAATTTTCAGCCTCGGTGATTGCACTTCTAATGGAGCTGGTTCGACTGGCTGAACAACTGATAAAAGTGGGTGTGAGTGCTCTCGGTTGTGTGCTCGTCTCGATAGCTTGTTCGATCAGTAGATTCCGACGACCTACGGCAAATATCACCACAGGAGCTGACTGTAGTACAAACTCTTGACTATCGTAGGATGACCTCATTTTATAGTTGAGCATATCATCCATTGTAGTCAACACCTGGTCAGCATCCATTTTGTATTGGATCGTATAGCTGCTTGTCTGAGTCATATTATATACTGATGACAGCTCGACGACAGTGCTCACACTCATACCCGGTGTCAAGTAGATCACATCATCAGCTGTTGGCGCACGTCGCTTAAATACTGGACCGACATACTCGACACGCTCTCCATTTCGAGTCACTTCGAAGATTGGATCACATAATTCCTTTTCTGGCAAGTCCCATTTGTAAATACCCATCGAGTCACTGCCAGTATTGGTGTACCTCAGGAGGACATTTACTTTTTGTATTTCAGCGAATTTTGGTTGCATTGAAATTACTTCGACGCGTATGTCTTGTGGATGACCATTGGTCACCATAATCACAACAGCAATGTATATAACAGCCCAATATTGTTGCATTGTTGCTCTTTGTGTTATAACCTTCTTGCACACAACTAGTTTTTAGTGGATCTGAAAAGTGTGAAACGAGCTCACATTATATAGCAAACGCCTAATAGATTATTTCGGTGAAAAATAATATCCGACTAAGCTTCGTCAAATACGAAAATAAAAAAATGCAATTATTTTTTATTCTATTGCGCATACCTGAGCTTTGTAATTTGACTCCAACAGATATAGAGTCTTAGAGCTAGGGTGTGGGTGTGGATGTGTGTGTATGTGGGTAAAGGTGTGAGTATGGGTGGTGTGTGGATGCAGATCTAAGTTCGGTTGAATATTTGGTGGGACTTTCCTTCTAAAATTCGATTTCTTTTAGTTCTGAACTCACCAATGGAATTTCGACGCATATGCAGCTTGGACTTGCAATACCTATCCAACTTTACCCCCTAGGAAGTCAGTTTTCCGAAAAATTCGACTTCTATGCATTCCTCGCCGTTCAGTAGGGTTTCCAGGAAAAGAGAGAGTTCAAATTCAGGTTTGTCAGCCTTGATAATCTATTTCAAATTCGGATAGAAGCTCAAAATATCGATTCTGCGATTGAAAAGCGTGATTCCCATTTTAACAGGAATTAGAGCGCAGACAAACCCACTAACGATTTTGCTCACGTAGACGAAAAGTGTTCTAAGTGTTCCCGTTTGTGTTTCAAGTAGAGTTCGACGTGCTATATCGAACGATAAAATCAGATTCATGATAGCTCAAACAATTCTTTTAGAAGTTGGAAAATGCGGGTTTATCACCATGAACTATAGGGAATCCGAGTAGCAATTCCAGTCCCGATTTTCTTAGGATGTGTTCCAGGCTCTATTATTTGAGTTTCAAGTAGAATTCGACATGTTCTATCTAGTAACACAGAAAAAAGACCAAGAACACATCCTGGGCGGATCGGTGCTGAAATTATACCCTGAATTTCCTATAGCGTATAGGAAAAAACCAGTATTCTTCAATTTGTAAAAGGATAGTTTGAGATACTGTAAACCTGATTTTACCATTCGATAGAGCACGTCGAACTCTACTTGGAACACAAACGGGAACATTTGAAACGCTTCCTGCAAGAATCG